ACTTAATTACAGCGTGAACTTTTAACGAGCCAGTAGACCGTTAGGCTAAAACAATCAGAACGTTATCCAACACTACATTTGCTGTGCATTCGCAGCATTGCCAAGGATAACGACAGGAAGCTTACAACTTATGGCAGCAGCATATTTCCATAGGTAGAACATTTTGTATGTTATGTGGAGGTTAGATAAATAATCCAAAGAACAGTTGTGAATTTTAAATTTTAACAATATTTTCGATTGGGAAAAAACGGAGTAATTATATTTCTGTTTCAAAATGTATATCTCTCACATGTTTATAGCCAGACAGCTAAAGTCAGGTAGACTACTAACTGCCTCTATAGATCACGCCATAAATACCCCGACCTCTCCCGGTTCGCATAAATCAATATTACTAGAAATTATAGCTGCAGGATTACAGTCTTTAAGTCATCAAACAAAAAACGAATATTCAAGAACAGATTCTTTTCAACTGAGTTCCGCTTTTAATGGACTAGAAAAAGATCATTGTTTAGTCGGTTGGACATGACTTAATATTTAATATTCGAATACTTGAACTAAGCTTATTGGGTTTAAATAATAATAAAAATTTAGTACAGCCGCTTGATTTTTTGTAAATCACTCAGTTAGCTGGCTTAGATCGGTAGAAATCTCAAAATAGATATGAAAACAATTAGTTTGAGATAAGGTCTGTTTTTCAGTGTTTCAGTGTTGTGAAATGTCGCACACTTCAGCTCTGCAAGGCGTTGCAAATTTGTGAGAGCACTTTGACACTTTCATGCAACCGGAGGGCTGTGCCAAATGGCAGCCGTAATACCACCTGCAAATGAATGAAAACAGCAAACGAAAACTTTCTCGACATACTTTACAAAACAATGGGCGTATGTGGGCGTGTCCGGTTTTCTTATTTGCCACAATTTCAAGTGTAAAAGTGCATGGGAAATTGCAAAGCAGAGTCGCAGGTGAAAACCCATGAGAAGGGCTGCCAACATGCAAACACTTTCCGACTGAGGTCAACTACTGATTACGAGTGCTCTGAACGGAACATATAAAAATCAACTAATTATTGAATTTAATTTCAGATCTCGGTAATATAAGAACATATAGAAGTCATGCTTTTAGAAATTATGGAGTGTTTGTAATTTCCCATTTCTCAAAGAGTTAAATTGTATGGTTAAAAGTGTGGTCAGGTTTTGGGTTAAGGTGCGTTAAGGGTTAAGAGAAAAGAAATTGCTTGCACGTTAAGAACCTCGCAACTTCGCAATACAACGCGGGTCATTGAGTTATTTTACAACTGAAGAGAAGGTGGCTCAGTGCAGAGATGACCCAGAAATTTAAAACCATGAAAGTTCGAATTCTTCAGAAAGTAATGTCAGAATATTCACGGCATCCTACGTTAATCAACGAACATGTTTATCAAAAGTGTTTTTTGAGATAGCTTTCATGTATCTCAAAAACTCCAATTAAGTTTTTATGGGTTATAAAAAAGAACTTATATTTGTAGGCACCAGAATACAGAACGCAAACAGACGCATGAAGGATAAGGCTTAAATGTATTATTGTAATGTCCGACTACGATATACCCTGTACCTGATCTATTTACAATTTTCCAGACTTAATACGATATTTATGTGTGCAAATACCAAAAAAGGAAAAAGGATACCTGCAATAATCCGTTTCCTTTTTATGAGAAAGTACTTACCCAAGTGTCTCTTGCTGTCTCTACCTCGTAAAATCGCAGAGCTATGCTTAGAATACTTTCTTTCAAAATCGATCTTTATCGACATTGTGGAGAAAAGCAGACGGACAGAAGGACATGTTTTGATATACCCAACTCGTTATCCCAATCAAGAGTATAGATATATATTAATGGGATTGCAGAAGTCGTCGTCTGCCTTCCTTCTGCAGAGCTTAGATCTCAGGCTGGGGAATTGATGTTCTGATTTCATAAACACAGCTCCTATGTTAATCCTCCCTAGATGCATTCTCTGTTTGGCCATGTTCAACTAGAGACTGTGCCTAGATAGTCAATTGTGTGGCATATACAGCATAGCACTCGACTTACCATTTCCGTTGCGTTTAAATGTACTTACTGGCCAACTCAATACCATATTTTATTTATTTATTATTATGAGGCTTTTTATTCGAACTGTTTTTTGTGGGCTGTAGCTTTTGCACGAAAAGTGCAACGAAATATGCAGAAAAATGATTTAATAAGTTGTTAAACAACAACTCGAAGTCAACCGGATATCGGACTGCGCAGAGAGCTGGCCAAATGGTTTTGCAATTTCCCTAAGTTTTTTGTTGCTGCTGCCGCTGTTGTTGTTGTTGTTGCTGTTGTTGCTGGCGTTGCATGTCGCAAGCGTTTTGGCCAGATGCGTGTGGCACGATCGGACGAGCCGAGCCGTTCGTCAATTAAACGGCAGTCGGCAGAAATTTACAGCTTGCGCCCAATTAATGCCCCAAGTGGCAAGGCGCACACACACATACACACAGCTCCTTAAGCTCCAGTGCCAACTTGCGACTCTCAAACTGTGGACTCACGCTCTTCGCTCCCCACAAGTCGATTAATCAAAGAGTCAAACGTTTTGACGCTTATCGAACGTTTTAGCGCCTGATGATGATCAGTCAGAGGCAGCGGCTGGGTCGGCTGCAGGGGCAGGGGCAGGGGCATGGGGCAGGGGTAGGGGCATTGCCAGTGGCAGATGCTGACGACAATCGTCAACAGCAGCAGCAGCACCAGCAGCAGCAACAACAATCGCACATTGATTTACGAGTTCCGTTCGCACAATCTCACGCGTGAGGCTGGGATTCGAGCTGCAGCATTCGATTTGATTCGTTTGCTTTTCGACTGCATTCGTTCATTCAATTCATTCACTTCATTCAATTCATTCATTGGGCCCCGCGGAGCACATCTCGCGAAAACATTTGTCGACCTCACGTATTGTCCGCCCCCCCCCCCCCCTTACCCGCCCCCTCCACCGTCTTTGCCTCCTTTTTTCCACCCATCATTGGCAAGCAATAATTGTTTTTTTTTTCCCCCATTTTACGAGTATTGTTTAATCACCGACAACTTTTGGCTACCTCTGCAATCATTTTGCTGATGTCTTTACCGCTTTGATCGAGCCGGCGTTCCATGCATAATAGAGTAGTTGTTGTTGTTGTTGTTGTTGCTGCTGCTGCTGCTGATGTGTAGCACTTGGCGGACCGAAGGCATTCGAATTTAGATTTGGTTTCGTTTAACGTATCGGACATGAATCGACAGCAAATTTGTCGACTGCTCAACTCGCGCAACCCCTCTCGACCCCTCTGCTCCGCTCTGCTCCACACTCGGCCAGCGTCAAGGTTTTCGTTTATTTGCCACAAGATTTCAAGGGCAACTGCAGAAGCTTTGTGTACCGGCAATTTGGACTGTTTGTTTATGTTGACAGAGTTGTGGCCGCGGTGCAATTTGTGGTTACGGCTGCAAATCGAATCTCTGCTCAAATACTTGGTTGTAACACAATTGATTGTGGCCAAATCTTTGCCGCGACCGTACGAATGTACGTCTATCTATTTACGTTCAAGTGCGCGTTCATGCCACGCCCGCCAGGGGCGTCAACATAATATCTGGCACAGTTTTGGGTCTCGAGTCAGTAAAATTGTCAAATTGTCAAATCAATTGTTGATGGTCTTCTTTTAACATCAAGGCACACCCATTACCGCACCCACAAATAGGTTCTAAGGTGACAGTTTGAAAACCATTGTGGTTACAGTCTTAAAGTCACGAATTCCATAATCAAGAAGAGTTTTACCGACTGTTATTGAAATGGGAATAGATTGTTGCGCAGTCGGTTGCACCCGCTTGTTCACTGTGAATTCAAATTCTATTCCAAATCATTTTTGATTTCTTTCTTTAGCTAAATATATAAAAATTCTCTTTGAAACGCTGAACCTATCAAAAATGGGTAAAGATGAGGCTTAATGTTTTGTTTGCAAATTACTGTCATAGGCAGAAGGAAGCATCTCCGACCCCATAATGTATATATACATATATTCCTAATCAGGAGCTGAGTCGATCCAACCATATCGATCTTGGGAACAACAAAAGCCTGATATCTGAATAATAAATCCTCGTAAACCTGCTTCAATTATATTAATATTAAATGGGTTTGATATTTACAAATGCTTTTTAACTCTCCCCGATAACATATTTTAGTAGGTATTTGAGAGTCTTCGACTTTGGTATGAACACATATTTGAATGCCATCTTTATGCCCTGAAAACTTCATTAGGATCGGACAACAAACTTCGACATTGTTGAAGAATGCATTACTTTTGTGTTTTGTTTTTGTATATGTATGTACGGAAGAAATTTAGAATCACAAACCAAACAAGATATGTATGGCTAGTGTTAGTCGGCTAGTCGGTTAGTCGGTATCTCCCAATCGGGTACTCCCGACTAAAACCAAATTCGTATTTTATTTTTTTGCTGCTAATTGATATAGTAATTTTTGAGTCTCAGCGAATGAATGTCGAAATAACGTACTTTCCTGTTTTAATTCAAAAGTATTTCAACTTTAATCAGAGATAGTCCTCAATCGGTTGTGGGTTAGCTCGTAGTTGGGGAACTTACATGCGTAAGCATTCCCATGAGGTGTACACAAGCCGAGTTGCGATCATTAAGAAAACTGTTGGCCAAGAGTAAAGCAAAGAAAAGTAAACTAATTAACACATCGACACCGAAACTCGATGCGAGCAGACATAGGAATATGGGTCGGTTGGGCTATAAGCGTAGTCGGGTAGTACGACTCTAGCGCCGACTCATGGCGCATATATTATTTGTACATAGTTGGCGGCATATACGTACATACATACACATATAGTTCACTTAGCGCTTGACGCTAACTAATGTAATTTTGATGTACTGACAAAGCACAGTTGAACAAACAGCTAGAAAAGTGTGTGTGCGTGTGTGTGTGTGTGTGTGTGTGTGTGTGTGTGTGTGTGTGTGTGTGTGTGTGTTGCAAGCAATTAACTGGGCGTCAAGTGTTGACCAACTGCGTGAGCTTCACTTGAATCGAGAAATTATCAAGGTGCTGAACATCGATATGTGGAATTGCATTGTGACATTCTCCCAGCTGCTTGGGATGTCCAAGCGAAGTGTGTTGAAAGTATTTGTTGAGGCGCCAGTCGAAGAGATTTCGCGTTCCCCGCTTTTTCCGCCGATTACCGATTTCGCAATGTTTGCTTAATTCCCGAAGCGTGCGCTCATTGAATCGAACCATTTCCGCCTTTCGCTTGCAACTGCCTGACGATAACGATAACAATGACGATGGCCAATACGATGCCGATGCCGATGCCGATGACGATGACGATGACGCTGACGATGACAACGACGTAGAACTAGCCAGCGGCAAAAAGTATAGCAATACCATGGCCAGACGTAGACCCAAATCAGCCTTGATTGGTAAGTAGCTGGGCTGGGACCAAGTCTTGCTACCGTTTATAAATCTCTTAATTAAACGCTCATTAAAATGCTAATTACGCATTTTAAGTAATTTCAACATTTTCAACTAATGTAATTGTTGTTTCTACTTCTCTCTGCGTTCCATTTCAATGGCACCGAGTTGTTGCCCGGACTTGGAACAGGGCGAGTAAATGGCCATAAAAACCTTCGCGTCGGTTCATTAGGTTTCTCTGTTCTACTCGTAATTGCATTGCGGCTTTTCCGGCTGGCTATTTTGATATATGCGCCTTGGGAAATACCTATTTTATTTCCTATTAAATGCCCGAGTTCGACTTACACAGCAAAGTTAACCTGCTTAGCCGAAATGTATCCAGTTTCGCTAATAATATTTTGAGTAAATTTAAAATCACATCTGGATTCATAGATACAGTTCACTTTGGGGTTCCAAAGACTTAATACCCTTCCAGACATTTGCACATTTGCGATATATTCATTGTTCCCAGAGATGCTATACGATATACATAGTTGTGCGATGTGGTTAAGATATTGTTTAAAACATAGATAAGTTCGATTCTACAGAGTTTGTTTATCTACCTGCTTATGTCAAAGATTCCACATGCTTTTGTGGAAAATTGGTGGAAATGGTTGCATGAATTTGATCGGCTTCAAACTCATTTTTAAATAACTTTGTAAACATTCATTTAAGCCGAAAAGAAGATGTTTCATTTTAATATTTTAGCTCTACCGAATAGCTTTAAGCTAAGTTTAAAATATAGAACGAAGACCACTTAAACAGGATAATATTAAAAAAATATTTGAAACATTTGCATGAAACAATGTTATTATTAAAAAAAAATAACTTAAAATAGTTTCGTTTTATATTACAGAGCTCCAATCGACGCAGGGAAGCGTCATGTTGTTGTCGCTGTCTTTGCAATATGTAGAACAAAACGCAACAACAAGAACAACCTACTCAATTAACCCAATGCGATTTTTGGCCAAGAATAACAACTCCATTAAAAAGCGAGTAAAAAACGGGCTTCAGTTCATCTAATTTAACAGGGGAAACAAGCACTAAAAGTTGTTAAAACACCGACATTTTTAATATTACCGGTCCGAAAAAGTACGCGAATCTATTGCCAGAAGCAAGTAGAACGAACAAAAGCACATTGAAGCCCAACAAGAGAGCTTGAAACTGACGAAAAAGTTGCTAACAATTTGCTGGTGCTGTTCACAACAACTGGAACTACAACAACAGCAGCAACAACAACAACCACAACAACCACAACAACAACATCACGAACAAGTGTCGCCGTTTCTTAATGCAAAACAACCATTCTGTGATATCTTAAGATCCAAAGGTGAGTTGCACAAAAGTAAATCCCATTTGGCCCAGTGGAACGGAAATGCACTTGCCATAACCTCAATCTTATGATGTTTACTGCACGGCAGAGAGAAAACGTGGCTGGGATGACGAGGGTCAACCCAATTGGCCTATTTTGTGAATTTCACTTAGTTATATAAACAATTGAAGCAAACTAGAGTAAGACTAAAGGAATCAAGGCTGTAGAACGGTCTTTGACTCGGATCGGTTTGAGCCCGGAATTATCATGTTTTATTTATTTACCATAGACAAAGCCGTAAGTCGCATTAGTTGAATACAGTACAGCCGAACATAAACCTAAACCAAACCATGGTTTTCTTTAGGAAGGTTTGGGTTAAACGAATATATTGCATTTTTTTTTTAATATTTTTGCAATAAGTACTTTAACTTACGGACGGAAAGACGAACGGGCGGAGAATGATAGATCGACTCAGCTTGTTGTCCTCATTAAAAATATATATACCATATATACCATATATAAATCATTATGCCTTTTCTCAAATCCCGTTTTTATTTTGAAACTGATCGGACGGTAAACAAATAACTTTCATACAAAGTTTTTCCGCCAATTTACCACTGTTGCGAGTGGAATTTCCCAAATCGCTGAAATACGTATTTATTAAGTTCTTATGTAGAGCTTTGAAAATAAGTTTGAAAAAAATCGGACACAACTTAAAACTTCGCCCAACAAATCTTTAAATCGCTTTCCCCTCGAAGAAGTTTGAATTCTGCGAAAAGTGTAAAACACGTCTCAAATGATTTTTCTTATAGATCTTTGGAAACGAATTTGATCGCGAAACGTCACCCACCAAATCTGTGACCTCCATTTCCACCAAGGAGGGATACATTTTCCTAAAAGTGTGAAACACCCCTCAAATGAATTTGAACAAAGATCTTTGAAAATAAGTTTGAGCCCGATCCGATGGTAAACAAAAAAGTTACATACAAACGTTTTTCGCGATTTTTCCACACTTGCGGGTGGAATTTCCCGAAACCCCGTCTTAACGTGCACCTACATCACATAAGGTAGCTACAGTGAAAATTTCAGCTTCCTAGCTCTTACGGTTTGGGCTGTGCGTTGATCACCAATCAGTCAGTCAGTCAGTCAGTCAGGACAAACAGTTTTATATATAGAGATTGAAATACATAGTATATGTTGAACTGATTAGTTCTTTTAAAAATGGCAAAGAAATTTATAAAATGGGCTCATAATTGTGTAAACCGAACCTTTAGGCGAGGCATTCTTTTGAGCCGTGAGCTGAACCACGGAAAGTGATTGTCAGACTCGTAGCCATGCCAGGAATACATATTTTAACACAAAAGAACGTTACTTTTAGTTACCGAGAAGGGTTCTTTAACAAGAAAAAGGGTGACCTGAATACAGACCTTAACGGAAGAATTTATTTCGAGTGACTTTTAAAATATGTTTTGTTAATGGGATAGCTCTATTGCTTGGACGTTCTGGTATTGTTAAATCTAAAGCAAAGACCGATCTATATAGCAGACACCCCATAAGCCCGCTAATTGGCAGCCACTGTATATGTCAATCTTATGTTACATTTAAAGAGTTGATCCCGATCCCGAGTTAGCTGAAACTAAGCGCTTACATAGAAAACACATTATAATTGATATGGTCTGTCGCTCTATATAGACTTCTAATGTACAGTATATACTCGATTAACATGTGACAACACACGGTATTTAAGCGCAACCGTTAATTAGTGCCTGAGTTGCAGGGTTCGGCCGCCAGGCGGCGTCTCTGAGCGGTGGGTGTAATTGGAGCTGTTGCTGCTGCTGCTGGTGCTTGCGTGCTGCAACTTGTTGTGCCAATAAATAATATGCAATGTGCCAATCTAAAAAAAAAGAAGAAAAAATATATAAAAAAGTGTTGACAATGACGAACAACAACAACAACAGCAGCAACAGCAACAGCAACAATTGCTTCGAACCAGTCACATTCTTAAACTGTCAGTGACAATTAGAGAGCAAATTATGCTAACTAAATATGCGACGTGCAAATATTTCAATCGAGCTGCTCCAATCGCTGGCCACGCCGCACAGCGGGACCCTGGCGGACAGTCTGGCCACGACTGGAACTGGCACTGGTTGCTGGTAACTGGTAACTGGGCGTGGCAGCATCTCCAGCATCTCAAGCAGTAGCAACAGCAGCAGCCCAACCGTCGACATCTCTCAACTGCATCCATTTCATCTCGTGGCTGCTCTTACGTAAGCTCTGCACCTAGCCGGGCATGCCAATGGGGGGAGGGGGGAGGGAGGAATAGCCCATTATAATTATAGATGCGATCAGCGCTAAATTCAATTTTTACTATTTTAGCAGCCACCCACAGCGACCCGACCGGGCGGAAAATCTAAATCTGAATGGGAATCGGAATTGGATTTGGAGTCCTGGCAACGTTATGCTGCCGATGACTGTTCGGAGCAATTGTAGAGCTAATGGGCCGCTGTGGGATTGCGAAAGATTTGTTTTTTGTTTCTGACGTGCAAAATATGTCACGGGGTTTGGTTTTTGTGTTTTGTGTTTTGGCTTCGCCGCTGCCAAAGTGAATAATTTAACACAAGAGTCGCAAAAGTCGTCGGCTCCAGTTGCGCCACGGTAGTTAAAAGGTGTCAATCAAGCCGGCTGACCAACATGCAATCCATTGGCCAGACCCAAAGCCGCAGTTAAAGCCAGCCAGACAACGGGCTGCGGCAGTGCTGCGCCTGTTAGCCGAAAAAAGCCAGAATATCGCTGTTTTTAGACATATTAACGAGTGGCTGGTAGGACTATGGTAAATCATTTACTTTATTTTGATATTATTTAATACAAAGATAATTTCATTAAAATATGGTATAATTCGATTCATTGATCTAATCCCAGAACAATTTCAAGCTTATTTTTGAGAATTAACTCAACTTCGCCAGAGTTTCTTGTTCAGAAAACCGGCTGGGTTTAACAGATCCAGTATTCTAGTATTCTTTTTATTTAAGATTAATTTGTTGTGCTGTCAGCTTTGACTGTCAGTTTTGACTGAACCAACAATACAAAACGAATCGTGGCGGTGTCAGTGCTGAGCTGTTAGCCTTTTTCAGCCAGATTTGGCCATAATTTCAGCACAGAACAATATCAAATATACAAGGAATATAATGTTTATAAATTGTAAGAACCGAAGAGTCTTGGGCATAATTATATTATACATTTGAATTATTGCTTGTGCTTCGTTCAAGTTTAAGTTGTTTTCAATAAATTCACTTGAATCGTATCTCTACTTGTTGATTGATTGCAATTGGTGGTGGAAATTATCAATGACATCCATTGTTATTGCTTTTAATGACAACATATTGTATTTTAAGCAATTGAAATTACTTTTATTAGTTAATTAATATATATATATATATATATATGAGTATTACGTCATAAACATAAAATCAGATGTAGAGTTGTAATGTTTAAATGTAATAGTAATTCACGCTCAGTAGATCATTTTCGCCAATAAGACTATACATAATTTGCCCAAAGCCAAAACCAGTTGTGAATCACAAGAAAATTAATTTATTCTGTTTGTGTTTGCTGCGTTGCGAACACTGTTTTCTTTGCTGTATCTGTCAGGTTAGTTGCCAGATATTTTGGACGCATGTCATGTTAATTAAAGTGAATTGAACTCAATCAACACGATTCTTCCAACCCCCTTTCCACAGTCCCGGCAACCCCGCAACCCGGCAGCGCGGCAACCCGAACGAATACCCTAAGCCATGCCCCAGGCCGTTGCAGAGTTTGAGGTGTGCTGACTTACTGCCAACTACTGCAGCAGCTGCTGTCGCCCTTTTGGTGAACTAGTTCAAGCCAAAGGGGCCCACTTCAAGCACTTAAATACTTTGTCATTAGGGGCAAATCATGATGGAAGGCGAACGCCCCCAAACGGGCATCAAAATCGCCTCACTTTGCATAATAAAGTTGTTGCTCGCTGCGCCGGGGCGGAGGCAAGAGAGTGGGGCGCGCCCTGCTCTTGCTGGGCCATGATCTGGATCCGTAGCTGGGATCTGCATGTTCCCACGCCCAAGTTTTACCCCAACTCAACAGTTGGGCGGCTGCCTGTTTGCAATTTTTATTGCTGTTGCCCTGGCTGTGGCTGTGGCTGTGTCTGGGCTGCTGGCTTTAAATGCAAATCAAGTGATTTTTTATTGCTCGATTCGTGTTTGTTGTTGTTGTTGTTGTCGTCGGCAATCGATTTGGGGATTCAGTTTTGTTTAGCGGAAACTGTGAGCTGCCCGCTCATTTGCTGGCCTCCCTCGGCTGCCGTTTCTGCAGCGAATGAATGACACAGATTCGGCGCACATAATTGTGGGCTGTGCTACGGAGCACGCGGCGCATACGTAATATTGAATATCCAACTAGATTACGCATACGACGCATGGCCCGTCCACGCCATATCACTTGACGCTGCATGCTGCGCAATCGGCTAGCACCCCGAAACAATGAGCCAGTTACACCATATGACATAATATATACATACATATGCACAGATATATATATACATATATAAATCGTGTCGGAGCAATTCCGAGAACTTCGAGATGCGAAGCATCTGCATCAATTGTCGATCTCAGCGAGCTCTTCTCGTTTGTGTACGTAGCACATTTGGCTTGATGTTGCATTATATAATGCCATTGATTAATCTATGGGCTCTATTGCAACACACATCAAAGAAATGATCTAAAATGAAAAACCACAACACAGAAAACAGCAGCAGCAGCAGCAACATCAACAACAAAAACAACAAAAAGCCTATAAAAACAGGCTTGAAATCAATGAATATTTTGTAAATATTTTGTTGTCGGCCGCGCTCTTCGTGTTTGTTGTAGTTGGCTAAAGTTATGCTTGGCGCGTAACTGGGACAGCAGCAACAGCAACGGCAGCAACAACAACAACAGCAACAACAAGAGCAACAACGGCAACACTCTCGCTTTCACGCCAGACCA